TCAGTCCGCTATCTAACTCCTTTAGGAAAATTACTGTTCTGAAGTCTTTGATTATTCCAAAATTAACTCATCTATTTATTTCGCTTCCAGATGTAGACACNATCCTTTATAAAATCACTTAATACAAAATTTTTCAAATTCATCTGGAATGACAAACCCGATAAAATTAGTAGAAAATCTATTAAACAATCTTATGAAGAAGGTGGTTTGAACATGGTAGATTTAGGTAAATTTGTAATTTGGTTAAAATCAACTTGGATAAAACGACTTGTTACGTCAGAGAGTAAGTGGGTATTATTTGAATGTAGTACTGGTCTTAAACGTGATCTCATAACAGTACTTGGCAATTCGTATATAGAACCGAACGTGGAAGATATTAAAAATCATTTCTGGAAAGATGTCTTAAAATGTTGGATTCAAATTAACGAAAAAAATAAGCCGAAAGACAAAGCAAATTTTGGTAAAACAGTAATTTGGCGAAATCATTCTATAAAACTTGATAACAAATCTATGTTTTACTCCAGATATTTTAACCATAATATTATTTTTATCTCCGTTCTCTGGAATGAAGATGGAGATTTTGTAAATTTTAATGAGTTCCAACATAAATATCCTAGTTTACAAACAAATTTTTTAGAATACATCTCTTTAATAAAAGCAATGAAATCATATATGAATACGATTAATATAGAAGGTCCTACTACAACTATATGTCGCCCTTTTGTCCCGTTTCATTTAGAACTACTGTTTGAGAAAAATAAAGGCAGTAGCCATATTTATGATATATTAAGAGAAAATATTTCTATAAAATCACAAATTAAATATCATACGTTAGGCTATAGAGTGTGTGATTGGAGTAAAAACTATATGCTTCATTTTAATATTTCAAAGAATTCCAAGATAAACTGGTTTCAATATCGTATTTTACACCGTATACTACCCGTAAATTATTTTCTTCATAAAATAAAGAGTCTTGTACCTTTTGCCACCAACAACCTGAAACTTTAGAACATCTCTTCTTTGATTGTTCATATATTAAAATACTCTGGGATAAACTTATGAATATTATCAATGAAACTACTATTCTCCATATGGATGTATTAACTTTACAAATTATTATGTTT